TTGCGCGCGTGCGTGCGCGCGTGCGTGTGTGCGCGCGCGTGTGTGTGTGTGTTGCGGGCGGCGGGGCCTACATTGCGCGGGGGGCATCTCCGCCGCGGCCCGTTCCGTGCCCCCCCCAATGGGCTCCTGCTGCGCGGGGCAGAAGGAGGAGGGCACCGGATGATAGCGACGAGAGTGGCATCGTGGAGGGATCACAGGCAGGCCAGCCGACGCCGCACAAGAGCTGCGACGCGACCAGCACGTGCGGCGGCGGTCGGAAGGCCCAGCTGGAGGAGGGAGTTCGCACGAGGCTCGAGGAGGCCGAGGACATCCACGAGGGGGGCGTGAGCTTCATCGCGGACGCGTCCGCTAGCCGTCGGCGGGGGTTGACGGTGGTCGCGCAAGGAGCGGACGCGGAGGTGACTGTTCAGAGTTGCAGCGGAGGCTTCATGGGCGACACGTCAGAGCCTGAGATATTCATGTTCAGTTACCATATCGCGATTCAACGCTGAGCCCATTTTGAGCAGTCCTACACCAAGGGCGACGCCATGATCCAGTTCGACAAGTTCGCGCACATCGACGCCAGCGTGGGTGCCTTCATGGATGATATCTGCAAGTGACAGCTGGTCCCGAGGTCAGACGTCACGGCAAAGGATATGGTGCGCTTGTCACAACAGAGTGACTTTCGGCTGGATCTGACGCTGGCGGCACGGTACTACGGTCAGAACCGAACGAAGCAGGACGTGGTGCCAGCACTACGAGGACGCCAGCTCACCAAGGCCACCATAAGCGAGCTCATTGCGAGCGGCTGCTGTGGAGGCTATCAGTTGAAGCACCTGGAGGCCTGGTTCAACGCGGTGAATAGCAATGCGAACGAGATGCAGGTGGATGATGGTGCAGGGCTTTTGGTACTCGGCCTCCCCGCTGCGCGTGAAGCGACTGATGTTCGCAACGCTGGTCAGTGGGGCAGGTCTTTCAGGCGCGATTGCATGTTTGCTGGGCGGAGCCCGAGTTGAAGCAGATGTGCGGATCGTTGGCGAGGAAGCTGAGGTCGATGATGGGTGGTACTGCGAAGGAAGACCCAGACCACACCCGCACCCTTACTACGCGTACAGTGTACAGGTATTGGAACCTGGTCACCTTTGCCTTGCAGGCAACGGTGCAGAGAATCCGTTATTGGCAAGCCGTCGTGCGGCAACCTTACAACCACACCCACTTGCTCTCCGTCTTCTTCGGACAGGTGCGGCGGGAGCTGAATGCTGACTTGCGATGTCCTCCGACCTTCCTGGAGGACGGCTCACTGAACGTCGACGAGGCCATCCATCCCTGGGCGCGTCAAATACGACGAGGCCTGGAGGCGGTGTGCAGCTGCCCCGAAGGCGAGAGCTCTTCGTCACTTTCGACCCGCGGTGCCTGCGAACTGCCTTCGCGGCGACCGAGTGGCGCCCAACAGAGGCGCTGGCGGCCGTCGTGTCAGGAGCTAAGGATGGTGATGTGTCGCGGGAAAATGCAGCAGAGTCTATCCAATGCAGTATCTCAATCAGTTCAGATGGTCAGGTTTGTGGTCGAGTATTTCGCGCGCGCGCAGCCCTAGTAGCACATGCGTGCCAAAGCAAACAATATGGACACGGTGGACAAAGTATCTTTCGTACCATTACACCCAGCAACGCATGTATCAACTGTGGTACCGTGTTCCAATCATGCACAGAAGCAGTACAAGATTTAGCCCGATCATGGCACGCAGGAAGATGTATAAGACATAATACGGAGTACACACACAAGTTCATCATCCCTACCTCATGTACATGTGCACTGCGCGGCATGGAGTACCCCACGTACAAGATCCACCGTAGTCATCTATGCTCGCACCTGCCGCCGACGCCGGAGAGTGTGTCCATACCAGTGGTCGAGCCGAGACCTTCACCTGCTCAGCCGCGGCGCAAGACCCTTCCGAAAGCCACCTCGCAGCCAGCCGTGCCCCGATTTCGAGGAAGCGACACTCGAACAGCCCAAGGCCTGCTGGTGAAGACACGTACTCCTACGGGGGCCTGTGATGCGGGCGTGGCGCCCAGCAGCTGCCTCCTCGGCTCTGTCAGCGAATGGTGGGACCGCCTCCAGAGACGAAGATCGGAAGAAGCAGAAGTCAAAAACGACTTGGGATAAAGAAATGGTCCAAGAAAAAGCCCCAGAACTGTGGCCCGTTTCCGTCGGGGCCCCGCTCCTTCTGGGATGCGTGCGGCCTGTGTCTGTCAGAGCCACTCCCCTTCGTGGCCCCCTCTCTGGGCGCAGGGGCCGCACGACTATCGCAGAGCCTGCCTGCCTCGAAGCGCAGGCACCAAAAACGCGCGGCGAAGGCGCTAGCAGAGGTGACCCGCGCCTCCGGACACAGGCAGGAGGCGCTGTCCCAATCTGTTACCAGCGGAGACCAACCACAACGCCTAGGGCGGAGGACGAGGCGAACCGAGCCAAGCCGGTGGGAGGAGGAGGGGGAGGAGGAGGAGGAGGAGGAGGAGGAGGAGGAGGAGGAGAAGGAGGAGGTGGAGGAGGAGGGGGGGAGGAGGAGGGGGAGGAGGAGGAGGAGGAGGAGGAGGAGGAGGAGGCGGAGGAGGCGGAGGAGAGGAGGGGGAGGAGGAGGGGCAGGGGGAGGAGGAGGGGGAGGAAGAAGACGACGACCCCGCTGGAAAAGGACTCCTTTCGCCCGGGATGCGCACCACCCGCAGCTGCACGCAGGATGCCCCGTCCGCGCACGGCTCCGAGACGGCCATTGCTGGTCACGAGCTGGAGCAGGGGGAGGACATCGACGACGACGCCGAAGATGGCGAAACGGAGGGCGAGAAGTACCGCGCTGCGCAGGATGTAGGGTGGAGGAAGGATGGCGGAAGGCAGAGCACGGAGGATAGAGGATGAAAGGAGTGCGCCATGGAGGATAGACGACGACGTTGACGGAAGGGGCGGCAGGAGGACGAGAACGCTGACGGAGAATGGAGGATTGTGGACGGATGATGGAGGCTGCGGAATGCGAGAGCAAGGACGGACGATGTGCTGGTGGATGGAGGATAGATGAGGGATGATGGAGGATTCACCGTGGGAGGACGAGGAGACGGAACACCGAGGATGGCAGGGGGAGGATGGAGGATGGCGGGAGGAGGAGGATAAAGAAAGAGGATGGAGGATGGACGGAGGAGAACTCAGGGTGGAGGATGGAGGAAAAAGAGGAGCAGGAGAAGGAGGAGGAGGAGGAGGAGGAGGAGAAGGAGAAGGGGGAGGGGGAGGGGAAGGACGAGGAGGAATGGAATGGACACTCGGGGGCAACAGAGGCAAAACCAACCCGCATGAGAAGGCAGGGACGGGGCGCGAACCCCACAAGCGTACCCGCATGCACTCCCACGCCAACCTGTACTCTCTCACACGCGGCGTTGGTCCAAGGCCAGAGTGGGCTCCAGCACCGGGACCGACCCGTGCTTAGTGGACTGGTGCGTACATCCACCCACACGCTACCAAGCGGCTTTCGAGCCGTTCGATACGAAGGAAACGTTACATTGCGCTCGTAAGCTAACAAGTCTGCAAACGACCGTGTAACTACCACAGATACGACGTCGACTTGCAAATCTGTCATCGCAATCTATGAAATCAGAGATGTGCAGCGTACTACCCCTGGGGGTCCAAGGCACATCGCGCAAACCCTCGGGGAAGCCTGGGCACATTCCTTCGGGGGGGGCGCTCCCCCCCGTGGCGCTTCACAAAAACCCGCGCATCTCCAGCGCGAGGTGCGGGCAGGCCAGGCCCCCCTGATGAGGGAAGGGGAGGGGAGGCGGAGGAGCAGAGGAAGACGGGGTGACATCAGGGTCATGGACTTGCCGTGCGCGGCACGCCCCACGACAGCATGGGGGTCTGCCCAAAGGGGATGGGGAGGTGCGCCGACTGTCTTCCCTGGCAGCCTCCCCTGGCATGACCAAACCAGCACGGGCTCCCGAAACCGGGGCCGACGGGGCAGCTCCCTCCCTTTTCCCGCGGCCTGCGCTGCAAGCGCTGCCGCACAGAGGGGTGGGGACGTGCCCTGGCTAATAGAGTCACAGCCCTAGACACACAGGGTACGCACGAAGGGCTTCGTTCTCGGCGAGGGCATCCTCTAAATCCTGGTTGGAGGGGGATTGTTGCTGAGGGCCTCCTGCTTAGCTGCGGCAACCGCAGCGGCGTTCCCTACAGCCCTGCGCCGTTCGTCCGAGCCAAATTCCAGACCATCTGGATTCACATGCGCTTTGGCCCCCTCGACCTCGGCATTGCGCGCACGCCATCCTAGAGCAAACAAGTGCAACACTGAATAGTATAATTGCCGAATGCACACCTCACAGGAAGGACATCAGGCCACACCTGCGATTGTTTTGAAGGACGAGGAGGCGGGGGAGGGGGAGGGGGAGGGGGGGAGGGCGAGGGGTGGAGAAGGAGCAGAAGGAGGAGGAAGAGACGACGTAACCGTGATGTCCGCTGTCCGCCCGAGCCCGAGCGCACAGCAGGCTAGTTGAAGTGAAAACGGACCTCGACCTCGAGCGGCATCATATGTCCGGCGAGGGAGGGGTCCTCGACCTCAAGCTGGTCGCATTGAGCAGCGAGGGAGGGTTCACGGGTTGAGGGCAGCTCCTACATCAAAGACAAAGCGCAGCAGGCCCGAGGCGAGGCTCGCCTCTCGAGCCCTCAGCGTCAGGCTCCTATATGCCGCCACGCTGGTTCCGGGCAGGCTGTGCTGTCCGGCGGAAGGGTTTACGGATGCCGACGCGAGAGCGAAGCACGACACAGAATTTGTCAAACTACATTGAGAGAAACGTGCAGGGCGGGAAACGGCGGGATGAGTGGCAGCAGAGACACAGATGAGGGGTGATGAGCTGGATGTCGCGGCGCGCGGACTACTCAGCTCGGAGAGATGTTTCATTTCCGCAGCTGTCGCGTCGAAACAGTGTGGGTAAAGAACGGGTTCACAAGGACGGTTGCGCCGCCTGTCGGCCAGCGTTCATGCCGTGCGACCCGTTAGCACGGATGTTCATCAGGCGCGTGCCGAGGATCGTCGATGCCATGACGCAAAGGCAGTTGAACGGCAGCAGCAATGACGGCAGCAGGTGCGTAGGGAGAGGTTTCGGGACCATGAGGCTTTTCAGGAGCAGGTGCGGGCAGCAGAACTGGTGGACGATGCTGTTCGCCACCAGCGACGCCAGCAGCGGGTCCGTGCAGAGGAGCATCCTCACCATGAAGCTCGTCTGTAGCGAGGTCGTGCAGATCGCCAAGCTGTTTTTCAGGAGGTCGGCCTGTAAGATCACCGCCAGTGCCGGCAGCAGCAGGCAGGTGAGGGAGGCCGTCATCACCAGGAAGCCCGTCTTCATACAGTGGGACTCGTTGGCGCAGACCAGGAAACTCTTCGGGCGCAGGCAGGTCGCCACCAGCGGCAGCAGCGTGAGCTTCGCGCAGTACGGCGTATTCAACGTGAAGTTGTTCGGGGGCATACGGGGCGCCACCAGCGGCAGCATCAGGGGGATCGAACAGATGAGCGTCTTCGCCTTGTAGCTCTTCGGGAGCGTGCCGATCGCCACCAGCTGCAGGAACAGGAAGTACGCGCAGGGAGGCCTCTTCACTATGAGTCGCTTTGGTAGCATGCATGTCGCCACCAGTGGCAACATCGATAGGATCGTGCACGGGGGCGTCTTCACCTTGAAACTGAGCGGGGGCATGCAGGTCGCCACCAGTGGAAGCATCAGGAGGTTCGAGCAGAGGAGCGTCTTCACCAGAGTGCTCTACGGGAGCATGCAGGTCGCCACCTGCGGCGGCATCAGGAAGTCCGTGCCGGACGTCTTCACCTTGAAGCTGATCGGGAGCAGGCAGAGCACCACCAGCGGCGCCAAGAGGTTCGTGCAGATGCGCATTCTGTCCGGGAGGCCCTTCGGGAGTGTGTAGACTCCACCAGCGGCAGCAGCAAGAGGTTCGTGCAGAAGAAGCTCGTCGGAGCGGTGGTCGCGCATGGGGTCACTGCTCTCGGCAGAGGCAGGAGGAGCAGGAAGCGGGCCAGCACCATGTGGACGCAGGTGGCCCAGAGGAGGGACACGTACACGAGCACCGTCAGCCACTCCACCAGCATCAGGACGAGGAAGCGGGCCAGCCCCAGCTTGTGGACTTAGAGTGCCAGCAGGGGCGGCTTCGGGACGAGGAGGAAGCGGTCCAGCGCCATGCCGCAGATGTTGCTGCTCGCATTCGCGCGCCACGGCAGGAGCGCGGAGCTGGTGAATGAAGCTGGCAAGCAGGTGCCCAACGGGATGCTCGGTGGCCACGTGCGCGAGGTGGCAGGCGTGTATGGAAGCAAAGCGTCAAAATGAAGAGGTAGGCGTCGATGATGCCGAGCGAGTCCCAGTTGTAGAGCCTGGCATTCGCGAACTTGAGCGGCGGCCACCGAACGCACGATCGGCATCGTGCGTAGTCCATCGGTGGACGTCAGCAACGCTAGCACCACTGGCAGGAACAGCTCGATCGGGGTCAACCGAGCAAGCCATCGCGAGAATATATGGAAACGCGGGCCACGAACGCGGGCGGCGCGGCGCTGCGCCAGGGGGCCTCGAACGAGACGGCTATGGTGACCGTTTCGGCCAAGTCCGAGATCCCGGAGGAGGGACGGACTTGAGCCAAAATGGCCACGGAAGGAGGAGGAGGAGGAGGAGGAGGAGGACGAGGAGAAGGACGAGGAGGAGGAGGAGGAGGAGGACGAGGAGGAGGAGGACGAGGAGGAGGACGAGGAGGAGGAGGACGAGCAGGAGGAGCAGGAGGAGGAGGAGGAGGAGGAGGCATGCCGCCCGCCGCTGCGAGCAGGGCCGCGCCCTCGAGCCCGCGCTGCCCCGGCCCACGCGGGGCGTGGCCGCCGAGGCCGACCGCCAGAGAGGGAGACCTGCCGCCCGCCGCGCGGGACGCCCCGGCTCTCTCGGGAACCTCGAGGAGGAGGAGGAGGAGGAGGAGGAGGAGGAGGAGGAGGAGGAGGAGGAGGAGGAGGGCGAGGAGGAGGAGGAGGAGGAGGAGGAGGAGGGAGGAGGAGGAGGAGGAGGAGGAGGAGGAGGAGGAGGAGGAGAAATAGGGCGCCAGGACGAAAAAGGGCGCCAGGACGCAGAAGGGCGTACAGTCGACCTGTATAATAAGGATGCGCGGTGAGGATGCAAGGGCCTTGGAAGGCCCATGTCGGCACTTTTCGAGTGGGGCCGGCCAGCGAAAGCTGCCAGGGATGGGCCGAAGGGGAAAGGGTGCAAGGGTAACCTTGGGAAGGTTGCTCATCCTTACTACGCGGGTTGACTGCAGTAAGCGTTTTATTCGGCATTGGGCGGAAGGGGGGGAGAGGGGGGAGGTCTGGCTCCAGGCCTCTGCTCGATGCCACCATTTGCAGGAGCGCGTCCTCTTGGGGAGGGTCCCCACACGCTCGAAACAGACGCCAAAAAACAGCCAAGGCTTACTCCATGGGGGGGGATGCGAGGGCCCGCGCCGATCGGCAAAATAATAAATAAAAAACGCTCACGTACTAGTACAATGCTTGGGCGGCAACTCGTGAGAGCCTCCCAAACCCATCGTGCTGGCTCTTGCGAATCGGCGCGAACCGACGCTAACCGACGCTGAGTCGACGCCAATCGACGCGAATCGGCGCCGGATCGGCGCTTACGCCATCGACCAGCACATGCCAGAATCGACGCGAGTGCACTCCAAAAACGGCATCACGAGGGCAGGCAAGGCTCCCACGAGCTGCTGATGAGCCAGGCGCGCCCCCCTCGGAGGCGCCCACCCGGACCGAGCGCACACCGCACCGCACAGGCACAGCGTGGTAGGCCGTCCCCCGAGCGGCGTGGCCAGAACGCGCCCGCCACGGGGCTCATACGGCGAGATCTCGCGGTTCGCTCGTCGCCCCTTTGATTAGGTCGGGCCTGTCCCCCTACAGGGGGGCTGACGAAAAAACAAACATAGTCACAAAAAAACCTACTCCGAAATTTCAAAAAATGCCCCAGACTATTGTTTATACAAATGTTGAATATCACCCTGCTGAGGGACAGGCCCGACTGAACCATTCGGGGGCGACGCAGTCATTGTCTGAATATGTTTGGGGGACGCCACCGACCAGGGCAAGGCCCAACATCGGTACATCCGCCCCCCCCCCCTGGATCGGCAAGGTGGACGCATACACAATCCTCCTCCTCCTCCTCCTCCTCCTCCTCCGCCTCCTCCTCCTCCTCTCCTCCTTCAGCCTCCTCCTCCTCCTCCTCCTCCTCCTCCTCCTCCTCCTCCTCATCTCCTCCTCCTCCTCCTCCCTCCTCTCCTCTCCTTCCTCCTCTTCCGCCTCATCACCTCCTCCCCGCTCCTCCTCCTCCCTCCCTCTCCCGCCTCCGCCTCATCCTCCTCCTCCTCCTCAGCCTCCTCCTCCTCCTCCTCCGCCTCCTCTTCCGCCTCATCCTCCTCCTCCTCCTCCTCCTCCTCCTCCCTCCTCCTCCTCCTCCTCCTCCTCCTCCTCCTCCTCCTCCTCCTCCTCCTCTCGCAGGCCCCAGGATAGGCACTGGTGTGCCGAGGACATCCGATGTGCTGCTGGCTTTTCCATCCGCGGGCCCCCGAGGTCTCGAACCGTTCCCCAAGGGCCGCTTGCCGCCTCGGACCCGTTCTCGGTGACCCCAGGAGCCGAAGACGGCCCCCAGGAGATCGACGTGGATGAAAAAACAATGACGGCGGAGGGCATGGCGACCCCATCCCCCGACGTTGTGAGACTTTCGACTGGGCAGCACATTGAGGGCTCAGATCAAGAATGCATGATGGGGGGGGCCTCCTTCCCTTCGAATAGCCCCCCATATGGGGATATCCCCGAGTCTCAATGTGTTTCTAAAAGACTAGCTTTGGGGAAAATCTGAGAACGGGGCTAACATGTAGATTGCGAGTTGGCACTGAAAAGATCACCCCGCCCGAAGTCGTGTTGCACGACGAAATTAATGGTCGTGAATTGTCCACACGACGTAGAAAAGGCCCCTGGAGGCCGAATATGTACCAAAGCCTTCCGTCATGACGTGTTCGCAACGCGAGGTTGTCAGGGGGAAGGATCAGTCAGCACGAAATCGGTAAATCGGATCGACGCGCCGAATGGACGTCGGATCGGGCCGCACGGAATCGAGATCGGATCGGATTGGCCTCGCCAGTATGCACAAGAACGGCCCGCGAACATCGGGCCGCATGGCATCGCCTCGTCGGAACGTCGAAACCAAATCGGATCGAGCCGGACGACCTCGACATCCAATCGGATCGATCGAATCGAAATGGGCCCTACGGGGTCGCGAGCCGGGGCGACGCCGATCCCCTGGTCTCCGCCCCGCGAGCTGCAAATGGAGGGCGTCTGTGTGAACGGGCGGCAGGCGACCCGGCCACCCGGGCACAGATGTCGGTGGCGCGCAAACATGGACTAGCGATCCATGGCCTTGGCGCGCGGTCGCCAAATCCATGGATGCACCTCCCCAGAATGCGGCCGGTGCCGCCCCGCTCAGCAACGGAAGTCCGCGATTCCCCACGGAAACGGGGCCCGTCGCTCATCCACGCCTCCTTGATCCATGTTTGCGATCGCCTGAGTGGGGCCCTTGCGCGGACGTCCGATCCGATCCCTGGCTCCCTTTTCCTCCCCCATGGCCCCCCTCTTCCGTGGCCCCCCTGGCCCCATTTTCCTCCCCTGGCCCCCTGTTCCTCCCCCATGGACCCGTCGCTCATCCACGCCCCCTTGATCCGTGCTTGCGATCGCCTGAAAATGGGCAGCCCTCGACACGCCAACTTCAAGCGCCGGGACCACCTCCTTCGCGCCCTCTCTCTCTCTCCTCCTCCTCCTCCTCCTCCTCCTCCTCCTCCTCCCCTCCTCCTCTCCCCTCCTCCTCCTCCCCTCCCTCCTCTCCTCCTCCTCGACCTCCTCTCCTCCTCCTCCTCCCTCCTCCTCCTCTCCTCCTCTCTCCTCCGCCTCCTCCTCCTTCCTCCTCCTCCTCCTCCTCCTCCTCCCGCCTCCTCCTCCTCCTCCTCCTCCTCCTCCTCCTCCTCCTCCTCCTCCTCCTCCTCCTCCTACTGGTCGTCGATGTGCTTCAGGGTCGGCGGCATCGGCCGTCAGGCCCTCTCAATAAAACACACGAGTCCCAAGATTTCCCTATCTTCTCCCATCTTTTCGGGGTTGTCGTCTTCCCCCACCCACTTCCCATATTGTCGCACATGTTCCTGGGAGTCGACGACAATTTGTGTCTCTGTGTGTTTTTTCTCCTCCTGAGTATCTTCGCGCACCCACGGGTGACCTAGGAAATGGGTACGGGGAAACTGGGCATGATGCCCAACAGCAAGCGCTGTCCAAAACCGACGGCGGCCGCTGCTGGGCAGGCGACCTCTTGCATCAAGTGGGCAGCGTCCGCGGCGACGCCGGCAGCGAGTCCTGGCCAAAATGAACCCCAGACATGCGACGTCCTGATTTTTTCAGGACGGCGTCCCCAGAAGTCCCGACCCCTTCCCCGGGGCTGGTTTTTCATCCTGCGTCGCTGTTTTACGGCCCCAGGGCCCGGCGAGGGCCCCCAGGGGCCGAAAACAGCGAAAGACTAGCCGTCCAGTTGTTTTTACGACGCGAGCATGTAACTGCAGTCGGTCTTCGGCCCCGTTCTTCCCGCGCCCGATTTCGATCGTACCGATCTTGGACGCCCTCGATCGTACCAATCACGCCTGGTGGCTTTCGGGCCATATAACTCGAGCCTCTGGCGGCCGCTCGGGACGATCCGAGAACCCCCAAAGACAGCTCTCGACGAGGCGCAGCTGCTGGAGAGCATCCCGAGGCGACAAAGCCTCCAGAAGCCACGAAGATGTCCCCACCCTCCTCGTGGACACTCCTCTGCTCTCCCCAGAGATATCATGCCTTGACTTTCTCAAATCTGACCGCACCCCGCGTGGACCGCGTCGAATCGGATCTGGCAGGCCGAGGTCGATATCCACTCGGATCGATCGGACCGACATGGACCCGGGGGGCGGGCGGGGCGCGCGCGGGCCGTCCTCGCCCGCCAGGTCGGGCGGGCACGACCCGCCCCTGCGACCCGGCTGGCGCGCCATGTCCACGAAGCCTCGCTGGCAGGGCGGGGGGGCCCAGGCGCGGGCAGCGGCGGCAAGAGGGGGGGAGGGGGGAGCCGGGCCAGGGTCGAGCTCGATGTTCGGGTCCTCCGGGCGGTCTCGTCGGTGCTCGGCGGCCGTCCAGCCTCGGGAGGCCCTCCGGCAGCGGCGCCTCGCCGGGAGCGTTCCACGGGGGCGCCCAGGGATCGTCCCGAAAGGGCCGCCGGAGGCCCGGGCTGTGACCCAAGGCCGGGCCAGTGGGACGCGAAAGGGCATGCTAGCATGATGTGCTCTATATTCCAGGGGCCCAAGGGCACACAAAGAAATACACACAAAGAACCGGATCCCCCATATTTTCCCATATATTTTCTGGCCTTTTGTCTTCCCCCCCCCCCCCTTCCCATATTTTCCCATATTTTTGGGGGAGTGGACGATTAATCGTGTCTGGGTGTTGTTTCCCCTCCTGATTGATCTTGGAGGCGCGAGCCCGACCCGCAGATAGTACGGAAAGCTGGTAGCCTATCGTTTCCCCAGCGGCCACCGGAGAGCGCCCGCAACGGAGGCCCTGCTGCCATGAGACTCCCCGGCGTGCGCGTCGCCCCCGCGGGGCCGAAGCACACACAGCACAAGCATGTTGGGTTGATACCGAGCCAGGGTCGGATCGGGCGAAAAGGAGTGAGAAGGATTGAGCAGTGCCCGACCGTCCTGGCATTCCTATAGTCCTAGCACGAAATGTTCCTAGAACCCCCCAAAAATGTTGTAATAACAAAAACCATGTTCTCAGAACATACACCCGATGTGATATAGCAAGACAGTCCCAACCCGAAATGTTCTAAGAACATGTCGCGCAAACCCCGAAAGGTTCTTAAAACATTCTTTGGTGGGGCTATAAGCGAGCCAAGACACTTCGCCGCTGCTTGAAAGGAGGGATGGGGGCCTACAAAATCTGCTGCGTGCACCCGGCCTCGGCACCGCCGCCTGCCGCTCTGCGGGCGCCGGGAAGACGAGATGCGCGAGCTGATTCGCTGACCGAACGTTTGCTGTCCCCCTTGCTCGTAGGCGCCGACCGGGGGGCGGAGGGCGAGGCAGCTGGCTGCGTCAGGCTTGTGTCGTGACGGCTTCGGCGCTGGCTGCGGGCACCGCGAGGGTCGTTCAACCTCGAGCGACGGGCGCTTCCCGATAGCCCAGATCGCTCGATGCGGGCCGGTTCACGGGCACTGGCGGCGCTCAGCCTTGAAAGCCCGCACTGGCGGAGCGCGAGCCAGCCCACTACAACCTGCTGGGTTAAACAGTGCGGACCCCGTCTGAAGACTGCGACGCACCCAGACCCCCTTACGCGCCGATCCACTCATCATTGAGCGGCACAATCAGACTCACTCATATCCGTGCTTGCTCGCGCGCAGACCGATCGATGCGCAGCCACTCATATCCAGACTGGCTCACGCAAGGACTTTGACGCCCCCGCATCCACTCGCGCTCAGACCCCTTTCTACTCAGCCGCTGACCGTAACCGCATTTGCTCGCGCACAGGCAACTTCGTCATGTTCAGACCCCACTCATGCCTAGACGCACTCATACTGAAGTTCGCTCGCGTTCAGACGCACGCTCAGCCAGATACACTCCCCCAAGATCGCGCACGCCCAAGCCCACGCATAGCCAGGCTCACTCTGATCCAGACTCATTCGAGTTCAGACCCAACCCACTCTCGGGCCGCTCTGGCGCCCACTCGCGCTGGGTCACCCGGACCCCCACCAGGGCGGGAACCGCCGAGGGCGTGCACGGACCCCCACAGGGACCTCCAACCACTGGGGACCGCGCCGCCTGTCCTTGCCGCTGAGGCCGTGGCGCAGGTGATCCCGAGTTGCTGAAGGCCCCATGGGGGGTCTCGACGCACACTCGGCGGGCTCCTCGCTGGAGAGAGAGAGAGAGAGAGAGAGAGAGAGACAGACAGACAGAAAGAGAGCGAGAGAGAGAACAAAAAAGGGGGGAAATGTGCTTCGCCGCGCAGGTGCGCTCTCTTTAGGGAAGGCGCATCGCTGACAGCGACGCGAGGAACGAAGATCCGAGATCCAGGATCGAGGAACCAGGATCCTCGTTCCATTCTCGACCCTGGACCCTCGAACCTGGAACCTCGAAATGCACACCCTGGAGTATCTACAATCATGAGTCGGTTGAAGATCCAAAATCCGGATGTTCCATCTGCGATCGCCCCCCCGACCGTGGGTGTCGACTTACGTTCGCCCCTGACCCCGCAGTCCTCGATCGATTTTGGATCGGCCTCGCGGCCCCAGCGCTGCCTGACGAGGGCCCCCAGAATCCAATGACCGAACGAGCGACCAACCCTGTGCACGACTGTCAAGGCCAAGTTCAGACGGGCTGGACGAGGCGACAGCCTGTGGAATCCAGCTTATCTTGACAAGGTGCAATGAGAAGAACATCGCAACTCAGACGGCAGAGATGAACAAGAATAGGCGGATTGGGAAGAGGGAGTCCGCAGTGTCGGCGCGTTGGTACACGCGCGAACTGAACTGAAATGAGCGGCATCTGAACTTTCTGGCGACATCAGATGGGGCGATACATGTGCCTGCGAAGCAGTCCCAAGCGAAATCGCCACTTTCTGGCCGCATGCATCGGGTCCACAAACATGGCTGTTAGGATGCCCCACGCGAAATCACCATTCTCCGGTGGCTGGAACTGGAACCGGAGAATTCCATTCTCCGGACGCCAGGGAAATTCTCCAGTTGCTCCGAAAAGCAACCGGGTCGCGATTCTCTGGTCATCATCCCATTTGGAAATAATGATATTAAAGGCGAGGATGGAGAAGTCTACTCAGAGATGGTTTTCCTTCTGGGTGCGGCCTCTCAGGCTCCCCAGAGCGCGCTCAGAGTGCCCCAAGAGGCCCCCAAGACTGCCCAAGAGGCCCCCGAGACGCCCAAAGAGCGCTCGAAGACGCCGAAGATGACCCCAAGACGGCCCAAAAGGCCCCCAAGACAGCCCAAGAGGCCTCCAAGACGCCCCAAGAGCCTTCCAGAGGCCTCCGAAGAGAGCCCCAAGAGGCCAAAATCGTTGATTTTTCATGTGTTTTTTTCGATGTTTTTTGTGTTCTGGCTTTTTCGGCTTCCGGACGCTCCAAGACGGCCCAAGAGGCCCCCAAGACCGCTCCAAGACGGCCCACGAAGCTCCCAAGACGGCGCCGAAACGACCCAAGAGAGCCCTCAAGACGGCCCAAGTGCCGCCCAAGACGGACCAAGAGGCCCCAAGACGGGCCCAAGAGGGACTCAGGAGGGATACCGAGAACTCAAAAATGGAGCCCTCCGTCCCAGAAGGCGCCCAGGAGGTCCCAAAGAGGCCCCAAGAGGCCTCCAAGAGGCCCCAAGATGTCGCCAAGAGGCCCCAGGAGACTCCCAGGAGGCCCAAAAGAAGCCCCAGAAGGCTTCAAACATGTCTCCCAGGCGCCCCCGAACGGCCTCTCAACAGACCCCAAGAGGCCCCCCAAAGAAGCATCTTGACGACGACTCTATTTCGCCCCATCGAGAGACGACCCCCAGGGAACTGCTTCACCATCAAAACTCCCCACGCAACGCGTCCGAACGACACCCGCCCCCAAGAGCGCAACATGGGCAACGAACACACAGACAAAAACCAGCGATGCCATATCACGGGCCGGCGGAATGAGCGAAGCGATTCAATAATATTAAAAGGCGAGGATGGAGGAACCAAAGAATCGCGACCCCGCCCAATACTTCCTCCAAAAACACTCTCTGGTCGCCTTCCAGGGCGACCGGAGAACCCCTGGGCTGGTTTCTGCAACATTGTACCCCTGCCCAGGGGCCTAACGGGATCATAGAGGCACATCTTGCGCGGCCTCTCCAGTCCGCACTTTTTAATCCAGCGGGTTGTACGCTCAAGAGTGGCTCCAGGAATGAGTGACCCCGGGGATCCCAGCGTCGCATCTGCTCACGCCAAGCATTTTCGCCCCGATTCGCGCCCGGGGGCCCTCGCAGATCGATCCGACTCCCTAGAAATGCGGCAGAGAGATGGGGCCTTAGGCTCCTAGGAGTGGTGCGTCGCGGTGTTGTATTATGTTTGTTCGCAGCGTCGGGTCACACATCCGAGGGACCTCGGACCCAGGCATCGCAACAAAAAAGTCACGGCTCGTTGTTCAACGTTTGTGACATCTGGATGCCGTCGGAAGACAAAAGAAGCGCCAACAGCAAGAAACAGACACGTCCAAAAGCCTCCTAGCACCGCCTCCTCGAAACCTGAGCCTTGTTCTTATGACGCGAACGGTCCGCTGCGTCCAGATCATGACAGGAAGGAAAGTAAAGCACACCATACATGATTTATCCTTAATTGGTTGTTCCGCACGTCGTTGAAAAGTGTTGAAAACAAAATAAGGTGATGCAAAACTTGTCGATGTCTGTATTGTCGATGATCGATCGTCGAGGCCATTTTCGCGGCACATGGGCTTGGACGCCCTGAAGGGGTACGGTCAAATTGGGCACGACGCCCAACAGCAAACACTGCACAAAACCGACAGCGTCAGCTGCTGTGCAAGCGACCTCCTGTCCCAAACGGAGCACATCCGCGACGACGCTGACAGCGAGCCCACTATTAAATAGGCAGGATCTGCTGTTGGTCTTCGTCAGCATTCCTTCCGCGCAGTCGAAGCGTGACCAAAAGAGCATGGACGAAGAACGCGGGCCCCTCCGCAGGTCCCTCCGGGCCCAGTGGAGACAGCCAGAACGAAGCACACTCCAGGGTGGAGGGCCCAAATGTGAAGAGCACGGGGGCACCCCTCCAGTGTTAGAAGCCCCCCACATGGGGGTCGAATGGACTGCGTCGAAGGATCGCGCCGCATCCCCGACACTGAAGGGGCCCCTAGGACACACAAATAAATACACACAAATAGAATAATCCCCTCATATTTTCCCATATCTTCTGGGTTCTGCCTTCCCGCCCAATTCCCATATTTTCCCCTATTTTCTGGGGGATCGACGATGAATTGTGTCTGTGTTTTTTCCCCCTCCTGAGACACGTCGCCAGTGCAACGTCGGCGACGCGTCGGCGACGTCGACGGTGGAGAACCTCGGGCGCCACGTCGCGCCGCATATCGCCGATGCAGCGACGAGGCGGCGCAGCCTCCTCCGAACCCCGCCTGCTCGGACCCCCACCCCTTGCCGTCGCTCGGACATCCGTTTCCCTTGCCTGTTTCGATGTCGTGCGTGTTGTTTTTCTTGCTCGAGGGTCCAGGATGGTCCTCGAGGGTCCTCGCCGAGAAAAAAAAATGCACACGTCCGAGCGATGCCAAGCACCTGGGAGGCCTGGAACTGCCGCGGGCTGTCCGCCGCCCTCGGGCCAGCGGGGAGCGGGGCACGCCGACCCGCCCTCGGGCGGAAGCCCGGAATGGGCCGGCGGGCCGACGGGCGAGCCTGGAGCGCTGCGGGGGTGGAGCAGGTCCTTCTCCGCCCCCAGGGATAGCAGCAGCACGTCGCCTGGGGCGGGCCGCCTCGAGCCTGGAATTGTCTTCCTCCTCCTGCTCCTCCTCCGCCTCCTCCTCCCCCTCCTCCTCCTCCTCCTCCTCCTCCTCCTCCTCCTCCTCCTCCTCCTCCTCCTCCTCCTCCTTGTTGCTGTTTAACTGTTTAACGTTAGACAAACCTTAGCCGAGGGCTGTGGCGTTCTTCCTCCTCCTCATCCTCCTCCTCCTCCTCCCCTTCCTCCTCCTCCTCCTCCTCCTCCTCCTCCTCCTCCTCCTGATTTTTTTTCTCGGCACTGGCGCCTCACAGGTATTCACACTATATATGTATGTACTGGCGCCTCACAGACCGTTGAACGAGCGACTTGTGAGGGCAATAGGTTATTTGGGCAGTGATAGATATCCCCATCACTCCTGGCCAGCACGAATCCGCCTAGGAGCGCAAGTCCTGTCCTGATTCAGCCAGGGAAGAAGACCTGTAATATGGCTGCAATTGCTGAGACGCCGCACCACCTGAGGTATACAACCCGAGACGGTTGCAAAATGTAACAGGACAGCCAAGCTTAATTGTGCGCGCTGCCATCCAGAGGTGGTCATGCACACACAGCCTACGTAGGAGGCCCTGCATAAACGGAGTTACAGCCCCACATATTCCCTTGACCTTGCGGTAGGTCAAAGAAACACTTGGCACACTGACGGCACCTCCAACTTGGCCTTCCCACGTAAGGGAGTGGGCTCGGGAAGGGGGAGGAGGGGAACGGGGCTCAAGGAATACGATCCAACGTACCATTCAACTCACGGGCCAACGGTCACTCCTGAAGCATCACAGACATCGATAGGGCCACATCGACAAACTTGCCCTTGAGGAATTAACTAAGGCCTCGTCACTCGGATATGAAAAGGTGGCTGCGCCTTTGTTGGCTAGTTTGTCGGCCCAGATGCCCCCCCCTTGTGATAAACACTTCCCTGGTATCCGAGGGCCCCTCGGGAAACCTGTGAGCCTTGAGCTTGAAGACGTTTGAAGGCTGGCTGGACATCCTTCCTCTGAAAAACCAAGAACCACCCATCGGAGAGCGGCCATTCCAAGAGCGAGGAGGGTCAGATGCAGCACCTTTGACAAAAGCTGCGCAATCTGCATACACATCCATGGGGGAAATCCAACAGGAATCTTGACTGCGCAGTGGGAAATGAATGCATGCTCTCCTCTCAACGCATTCTGCGGGCTCACTGCTGGAACATGGCCATAGGTTCAGTTGATCAGTTCACCTGCATCAGTGACTTCTGCAACTCCCCAACCAGCCCGCACAAGCACAGTGGAAGTGGGATGCTGCCACGAGCCATCCACGAATAAAGGTCGGCCTTGGTCGAACATGAAAGGCTCGACCTGCTTGAACTCTGAATTGACACACACTGGCAAGTCATCAGCGCCGATGGGGTTTTCAACAGCAGGTCGGGCAAGCACCCCCTCGTCCATACATATAGCTCTACACGCCTACCAGACGCATCATTTGAGCGCACCAGGCATTTCGCCAACATTTACACGGATGGAGGGCGACTCCTATTCCAGTATCCAGGTCGCGCCTGAGACTTACTCCGACTATACAGCTAGAAGTTCAGACTGTGCAGCCGTTACAAAGATGGAAGGCGACTCCGTTTCAACATGGGACTCTCGTGTAGGATTCTCGAACTTGGCAGCACGACATCTCTGTATACACTTACAGATATATATGTACCACGTTATGTGTGTATGTATGTGTACATGTATATGTGTACGTATAGGTGCAGGTATATACAAACGTATATGTATATGTAAATGTAACTATATACATGTACATGTATAGTGTATTGATGTGCATGGATGTATGCGTGTATGTATGTGTGGATGGATGTGTTTGTGTATGTATGTCTACGTGGCTGTATGTATGTATGTATGTATGTATGTACGTGTGTATGTATGTATAATTGTATGTATGTATGCATGTAGGTATGCATGTATGTGTGGTTGCATGATTGTGTGTATGTATGTGTGTATGTGTGTATGTGTGTATGTATGTATGTAGGTTTGTATGTATGTATGTATGTATGTATGTGTATGTATGTGTATGTATGGTTGTATGTGTGTTTGTATGTATGTATGTGTGTATGTGTATGTATGTATGTATGTATGTATGTATGTATGCATGCATGTATGTATGTATGTATGTTTGTATGTATGTATGTCTGTATGTATGTATGTATGTATGCATGTATGTATGTATGTATGCATGCATGCATGCATGCATGCATGCATGTTTGTATACATACATGCATGGAAACATGATCGTACGTTCTCTTCTGAAACAGCTCCACAGACGCAGAGCGGATCCTTTTCAAAATGGTGTTATCGCTTGGGACCTCTTCCGATTCTGTGCCCACTAACAGCTACACGGATGAAGGACGGCCATTTTTCCAAACGAGGCTGCCGCTGGACACGTCCTTGAACCGCATGGCATAGCCCCACATTGTCGCATTCCCTATCGCTCGAAGCATGGGAAGCAGCTCCTTTTCAACACGCAGCTCCCGACCGAGTTCCCGGCCCATCGGGCGGCCGCCTCGCGCAGTGAAGAAGGAGGGAGGAGGGAGGAGGGAGGAGGGGGGAGGGGAGGCGGGAGGGGAGAGGGGAGGAGGGGGGAGGGAGGGGGGGGGGGGTGGGGGGTGAGGAGGGATGGGGGAGGGGGGGGGCGGGGATGGGTGGGGGGCGCTTGTAGGGGCACGCCCAGTCGCAGCGTACACATGTTTCGAGGCTCCCTGCCACGGTCGAGGACGTCTGATCAGCGTGTCGCCGCGGCGGCCCCGGCGACACGCTATGCCTTGCGAGCGGATAGCGTGTCGCTCCGCTCCGCGGGGCGGGGGGCTCGGAAAAGCTCGGGACGTTGACGCTGGGCGGCCGGGAAGTGGACAGCGTGTCGCACCGAAGCGTAGTGGGCCAGAACCGACGGAGCGGCAGATGTTTCGGGGTTCCCTGTTAGCTCGCGCGGTTGCCGTCCGCATCGCGAGCCAAGAGAGAAGAGATCGCCAAGCAGATCCGTAGCCCAAATCGAGAGGATTGCTGCAGTATGCAGCACTGTACCGCCCAGGCCGAATCAGCGACCCCCAAAGCACTGTCGCAGCACATCACCAGCTGGGGCGTCAGCTTCACCTGGCCATCGTCAAAAACAGGAGGGAGGAAGGGGGAGAAAGGCAGGAAAAATCCAGATGGCGACTGATACGAGCTTGCCCTCAAAGCGTAGCGGGCCGAGGTTGCACGCGGAGGACCCAAACGGCCACTGCAATTAGGGCCCAAACCGTGCTTGCAGTGACGTGTAGGGAACTTCGGACGGGAGGGTATATTGCAGCATCGGTAATACATATTGGATTAATTTGAGTCCTCCTCCTCCTCCTCCTCGACCTCCTCGTCCTGGTCCTCGTCCTCGTCCTCGTCCTCGTCCTCGTCCTCCTCCTCGAAGCCCTCTGATCCTCATACTCCTCCTCATCATCGAAGACCTGAAATCCTCCTCCTCGAAGTCCTCCTTGTTCTCCTCCTCTTTTTCCTCCATCTACCATCATTCCCCCCCGTCCCATCCTCTCCGACTCGAAAAAGCGCCCAGGCGACGCCAAGGGGGGTCCCCACTAAATAAGGGAGGTCGCCACCTCCTCCAGCAACGGGCCTGCCTGGACCCCCCAGAGCCCCCCGGGCCCCCCCAAGACGCCTGGAAAAGTCTGAGACCTCCTCGACCCTCGATTCCCCCTCCTCCTCCCCGATCCTCGACCTCCAAGATGACGTGGTGACTCCCCTGGTGGCCCCCTGGCCCCCTCCCCCCTTGGCGCTGCCCGACTGGCGCCTGGGCTCCGCGGACGTGCCCGCGCCCGGAGCTGCGGCACGCCGTCGGAGAGAGCCCCTGGGCGCCCGCCTCGGGGGCGGCCGCCTCTGCGCCGCGCGCGCCGCTGGCGCGCGCCAGGCGCGCGAGCGGCCTGACCGTACAGCACAGCTCTGCCGGGCGCTGTGTTTTGTCGGCGGCGATGGGCGCGGCAGCACATTCTGTCTGCACGCGCTGCGCACGCAGCCGCGCCCTCCGAATCGGCGCGCCGCCGAGGGCCTGGCCTGCCTGCGCCAGCTCGCCGCGCGCGTGGAGCACCGCGTGCCGTGGCCGCTGGTGCGAAGCCAAAGGCGCTGGGATTCCAGCCGGCCCTGGTGAGCTAACACGGCACGAGGTATACGGAACAGGAGCACCAAGGAGGAGCACCAAGGAGGAGGAGGAGGAGAAGGAGGGTAAGGGGAGGGGACGGAGGAGGAGGAGGAGGAGGAGGAGGAGGAGAAGGAGAAGGAGGGTCAGGGGAGGGGATGGGGGAGAAGGAGGACAAGGAGGAGGGCGCCAGAGAGGAGCAGAAGGAGGAAGAAGGGCGAGGAGAAGGGCGACCGAAAGGAGGAGAAAAGGGAGGAGAGAGAGTGGAGGAGGCGGAGGAGGAGGGAATGGACGAGGAGGGTGCGAAGATCAAGGACGAGAATAAACAGTGGCCCTCCTTACCTGGGGCCCTGTAAAATGTACACGGGTACGCAGGACCTGAAATGTGGCATGAGTGAAATCGGTGGAAAAAGCGCGGGACAGCACGAAGAGGGCGACACGAAACGGGAGGGAACTAGACTAGACGATCAAGACGAGGACGAGGACGAGGGGAGAAAGGAAGAGGCGGAGGAGGAGGAGTAGGAGTAAGAGGAGAAGGGCGAAGACGAGGAGGAGCAGAAGGAGGATGAGGAGGAGGAAGAGGAGGAGGAGGAGGTGAAGTCGAGAGTCGCCTTCGCGCGGGGAGCCGCCAGGGGAGCCCGCGTCCTGCGGGGCTCGCGGCTGCGGAGGGGGGGGCCGCCGGGCGAGCGGTGGCGCGCGCGAGGAGCACACGCGCAGGCTGACCGCATCTCCGCGTTGCCAGCCACGCCCGCCCTGCTGCGCCGAGGGGGGGCCCACCTCGCGCCTTCGAGGCAGCCGCGGGGAAAAGGCAGGAAGAGGGGGGGAGGGTCGGCGCCATCATGGCCCGACGGTCGAGATGCCAAAAGGGGCATCACTTTGGGCTCAGTTTTTGTCGGCATCCTCCGCCTACGTCTCCTCCTCCTCCTCCTCCGCCTCCTCCTCCTCCTCCTCCTCCTAGTCCTGATCCTGATCCTCATCATCATCATCATCATCATCATCACCACCACCACCACCACCACCACCATCATCATCATCATCATCATCATCATCATCATCATCATCATCATCATCATCATCATCATCATCATCATCATCATCATAGTCATCATCAACATCATCATCATCATCCTCATCCTCATCCTCATCATCATCATCATCATCAACAGCAGCATCAGCATCGTCATCATCATCATCAGCAGCAGCAGCAACATCATCATCAGCATCATCATCATCATCAGTATCAGCATCATCAGCATCATCAGCATCATTATCACCATCACCGTGACCATCATCCTCATCATCAGCATCATCATCATCAGCAGCAGCATAATATAATCGTCATCATCATCCTCAGCATCACCACCGTCATAATCACCATCATCATCATCATCATCGTCATCGTCATCGTCATCGATATCATCATCACCATCATCATCACCATCATCAGCATCAGCATCAGCCTCAGCATCATCATCATCATCATCATCATCATCATCATCATCATCATCATCAGCATCATCATCATCAGCATCATCATCAGCATCATGATCCCCCCGTCCTCCCCCTCCCCCTCCTCCTCCGCCTCCTCCTCCTCCCCCTCCTCCTCCTCCTCCTCCTCTTCCACCTCCTTCTCCTCCACCTCCCCCCTCCTCTCCCTCCTCCCCCTCCCACTCCCCCTCCTCTTCCCCCTCCTCCTCCTCCTCCTCCTCCTCCTCCTCCTCCTCCTCCTCCTCCTCTTCTTCCACCTCCTCCGCATCCTCGTCCTCCTCCGCCTCCTTCTCCTCCTCCTCTTCCTCCTCCTCATCATCGTCATCATCATCATCATCATCATCATCATCATCATCATCATCATCATCATCATCAGCAGCAGCAGCATCATCAGTATGCGCACCATCATCATCATCATCAGCATCATCATCAGCAGCAGCATCATCATCAGCAGCATCATCATCAGCATCATCATCAGCATCATCATCATCATCATCAGCATCAGCATCAGCATCCTTATCATCACCATCAGCAGCAGAAGCATCACCATCATCATCATCATCATCATCATCATCATCATCATCAGCAGCATCATCATCATCACCAGCAGCACCATCGTCATCATCATCATCGTCATCATCAGCAGCAGCATCATCGCCATCATCATCATCATCATCAGCAGCAGCATCAGCAGCAGCATCATCAGCAGCAGCATCGTCATCAGCATCATCATCATCAGCATAAGCATAAGCATCATCATCAACATCAGCATCATCGTCTTCAGCATCACCATCATCCTCAGCATCACCACCGTCATAATCACCATCATCATCATCATCAGCATAAGCATCATCATCATCATCATCATCACCATCATCATCATGAGTACCATCATCAGCAGCATGAGCATGATCATGATCATCACAGGTACCAAACTCAACATCATCGTCCACATCATCAGCATCGTTAGCATCATCACATTCATCATCACCATCATCATCATAATCAGCAACATCAGCAGCATAGTCACCATCCTCATCAGCATCATCGTCCTCATCATCATCATCATCATCATCAGCAGCAGCATCATCATCATCATCATCATCATCATCTTCATCATCAGCATCATCAGCATCGTCGTGATCATCAGCAGCATCACCACCACCAGCATCATCATCAGCAGAATCGTCATCAGCATCATCATCAGCAGCAGCATAATCATCATCATCGATATCATCATCGATATCATCATCATCATCATCATCATCATCATCATCATCATCATCATCATCATCATCATCGTCGTCATCATATTCCCCCCGTCCTCCCCCTCCCCCTCACCCTTCCCCTCCTCCTCCTCCTCATCCTCCTTCTTCTTCTTCTCCTCCACCTCCTCCCCCTTCGCGCCCTCCTCCCCCTCCCCCTCCCCCATCACCCTTCCCCTCCTCCTCCTCCCCCTCCTCTTCCTCCTCCTCCTCCTCCTCTTGCTCCTCCTCATCCTCCTCTCCTCCTCCTCCTCCTCCCTCCTCCTCCTCCTCCTCCGCCTCCGCCTCCTCCCTCATATCCTCGTCCTCCTCCTCCTCCTCCTCTTCCTCCTCCTCCTCCTCCTCTTCACTGTTCCTTCTCCTCGTCCTCCTCGTCCTCCTCCTCCTCTTCCTCCTCCTCCTCCTGTTCCTCCTCCTCCTCCTCATCCTCCTACTCCTCCTCCTCCTCCTCCTCCTCCTCGCCCCTTCTGATTAGTCTTCCCTTCTTCCCCCTCCTCCTCCTCATCCTCCTCCTCCTCCCCATCCTCCTCCCCCTCCTCCTCCGCCTCATCCGCCTCCTCCTTCTCCTCATCCTTCTCCTCCTCCTCCTCCTTCGCTCCTTCTCCTCCTCCTCCTCCTTCTTCCTCCTCCTCCGCCTCCTCCTCCTCCTCCTTCTCCTCCTCCTCCTCCTTCTCCTCCTCCTCCTCCTCCTCCTCCGCCTCCTCCTCCTTCTCCTCCTCCACAAGGTCGGGGGCCCTGTTCGTGGCCGAGGCTCGCCGAGACCAGAAAAGCCCCCCTTTTCGCTCCCTGCTCGGCGCCCCTGATGGTAGCACGATGACTGCAGGCACGTGCGTCCTGGACGAGGGGGGCGGCAGAGGGCCAGGGAGCGCACGCACCGACACGAGAAGCAGGGTGCATCAAGACTGGGACACGTCGTGGCCCCGGCCATACTGTCCACCAACTCACACCTGTATCGGCGGCGAGCCTGGGGGGAAAAGTGACAAGGGGCGGACCTTCGCAGAAGGCTCGGGAGTCCCCCGGCCTTCTGAGAAGTGTTCCAAGCCTTCCCCAAAGACACAAAACAAAACTCTCAGAGGGCGCGAGGGCTTCTGAGAAGTCCCGCCGCCATCTGAGAAGGCCTTCTCCTTCTCACTGCCCCCCCTCGCTCACCGCAGACTGTAGCCCCCACCCCCATCTCCGCCGCTACCGAAGCTGCGCCCTGCTCACGGCAGCCGCGCCCTGCCTGTGCCCCTGCGGCAGGCTCACTCATGCCGTGAAGACGTCGGCGCGGGCCTCTGACACCGCGTGTATGTGAAGGGGCCCCAGGACACACAAATAAATACACACAAATGAAAGGATTCCCCATATTCTCCCATATTTTCTGGGTTGTTGTCTTCCCCCCCACTTCCCATATTTTCCCATATTTTCCTGGGGGTCGACGATTAATTGTGTCTGTGTTTGTTTCCCTCCTGAGTATGGCTCGACCCTGACCGATCGCGGCCGCCCGACAGTGCGGGGGTCAGATGTTATAGCAGTGGTCCTGGCCCAGGGCACCCGCAGCTGCTCGCGCCATGTTGGAGCCCCGGGGCCCTCCTGGGCCTCGTGAGGAGAAGGAGGAGGAGGAGGGGGAGGAGGGGGAGGAGGGGGAGGAGGAGGAGGGCAAGGAGGGAGGAGGAGGAGAGGAGGAGGAGGAGGAGGAGGGGGAGGAGGAGGGGGGGAGGAGGAGGAGGAGGAGGAGGAGGAGGAGGAGGAGGAGGAGGAGGGGAGAAGGAGAGGAGGAGGAGGAGGAGGAGGAGGAGAAGGGAGGAGGAGGGGAGGGAGGAGGGGGAGGGAGGGGGAGGAGGAGGAGGAGAAGGAGGAGGAGGAGGAGGGGCAGGGGCTGGGGGGACGCCTGGGGCCGGGAACACCCTGGGCAACACCCGAACTGAAGTCGCCTTCCACGCCCGCGCTGGGGCCACCGCCAGATAGACACGGCGCGAACCTGCCGTACACCGTGGCCTTCGCGCCACACTGGCGGGCCCGGCCAAAGGGGGGGATAGCAAAGGGAGGGTTTGAGAATCATCGGCTACACGCAAGAGTGACCCTGGGTAAGGCTGACCTTTGCTGCGCGGCTTTTGGGGGGCCGCGAGGGGGCCAAACACGAGCGCGCAAGACGCCACTGCCGCCTCGCATTCGGCAATCGGGGGACCCCATTTGGCCGGCACCGAAAGTCACTCCGGCGAAAGGTCACTCTTAGGTCTAGTCGAAAACAGCTCAAGTAGCTGACTTTCCCGGCGCCTCCCGGCGCCGGGAGGCGCCCATGTATCGAGGAATGGGCCCGGCGGCGAGGCCGAAACCAGCTGCATGCAGCAGATTTCGTAACCCCCCCTTTCCCTATCCCCCCCCCTTCGTTCGGCCCGACACTGGCGGATGCCCTGCGCGGCGCGGGAGGAGCACACGCGCGACGGTCTCGCTGCTTGCGCCCGCCGGCCCGACCACCTAAGAGAGCATCTATACCGAGGGGCCCAGTTCTTGCTTGCCGGAGCTGTAGCGCAACCGGCTCATGAGGATGCGCGGGAAGTGTGCAAGGGCCTTGGACGCCAGAAGTGAAGCCGAAGTTGGAAGCCGATATCCCATGGTCCAAGCGCACCAAAGAGAAGAGAAGAGATGGGCCAAGAGAAAAGGATGGGCCAAGAGACAAGGGTACCCTGTCCTGCTTGACTGATAAGTCGATGCTGCAAGCAAGAAGAATGTATATAAGAAATCAGAGCCTCAAACATGGAGTCTCGTATTCCGTAGGGAGTTCGTACCAGGTTCGCTGATCTGGCGCCCAGATCGTCTCGAAACCCTTGCGAAGTCGAAAACTTCGCTGGAGTTCAGGAGCGTGTAGAAACGTCCAGCGGAAAGCATTACTCATGTCAGCTGCAACCTACTCCACTACGGCCCATGACTAAAGGCAACTGCGACGGCTAGGAGCGAGCCAGTACGGTCAGGAACTTCTGCTCAACGTATCGCGGCGGAGGCCCCAGCGACACGCTATGTCATGCGAGCGGGTAGCATGTCGCTCCGCCCCGCTGGGCGGGAGGCTGGGGAAGACTCGGACCATTAATGCTCGGGGACCAGGAGGTGATTAGCGCGTCGCGCCGAAGCGTGGTAGGCCAGACCCGGCGGAGCGACACGCTAAGCCAAAGTCCCCGACCGCTGGTGAATCTAGACTGGCCGAGCCCCGAATCCCCGCACTGCAGAGCTATGGCGGCATCTGTGCCTGGCCGCCCCCTGGCGCGTCCTCGTGGCTTCTGCCAGTCCCCGTACTCGTCTCCCTCGTGGGGAGAAGCGTGCTGCTCGAGTTCGACCCTGCTTGAGAGCAGGCTGCAGGACAGCGTTCCGTCGGGGTGAAATCGAGATGGCGTGGAAGAGCTGAGGAACCAGCCGCTGTGGATGTCACGAACCGCGCGCGCCGAGCAGCTCACCCTCGGGCGTTCAGTGATTGTTCCCTTGCCCTCCAGCGGGGCGCCCAGAGGCCGAAGTGGCAGGAGAAGCGCCAGAGGGTCGAAAAAAAAGCAATCCGCCCGAAGTCTAGGGTCCTGCGGCCCCGATCCTCGTGGCGATCGAGGTCTGGGACCGCGACCCCGCCCAGGCAGAGGCCGGGCGGGCTGCCACGTCCGCGAGCAGGTGGAACCCTCAGAGCCCTCCAAACCCTCCAGGGCTTCTGGCAAAAAAAAGCATCCAAATCCCACTTGATTGGTTCAATCCTGGCGCGTTCCTCAATGTCGGCCTCCAGGGTCCGTTATCGGGCGACGGGACCATCACACGTGGATCCAGGACGCCACTGGCCCTGGGGAAGGGGTCGGGAGCTCTGGAGTTGCAGATTGCACGAAGACATCGGCGGATGTCTGGGAGCGAAGAATCAAGCAGCAAGCAGCAACAACACTCTCGAGGACCCATCCTCAGAACCACGATCCTCAGAACCACGATCCTCAGAACCACGATCCTCAGGAGGTGCCCCACCCCCTTGTCGCTGGACCCCTTCTTGGGTCAACCCGATGCTGGCGACCCTCCAGGCGGTGGCCCCCCTTGGCACTGCCCGCCCCGTGCCGCGGCGCAGGCCGAGTCCTCCGGCCTGCCCGGGGCGCTCGCGAAGTCTGGGCGCGGGGCGCGCGGCTTGGTGGCCTCCAGGCAGGGCAGCGAGTACCTCGCGCGAGGTCGGGCGCCCGCAGATAAAACGACACGAAGATCGGGACAAAATCGGATCGGGATAACTCGAAATCTCTGAGAATCGGCGGGTTTGGAGAATGTATTGGGCGCCGCGGCCGCTCCAGAGCGTTCCGGAACGCTCTGAGAGCGTTCCGGAACGCTCTGGAGCGATTTATCCCGATCCTAGCCCTGTTTTAGCAGACCCCAGCCCTCCAACGCACTGGCACAAAAAGAGAACGGGAACTGCTCGTCGCTTCCGGCCTCCGAAGGGTCCCTCGCCAAGCCCCGGGACCGTCAACGAAACAACTCCGGATTTCCGGGGGCCCCGCAAGGACAACAAGAGATCCTTCGGATCTCTGGGGATACGGGCGACGCAAACATAACGGCACGCAGTTCCACAACGTTGGCCTCTGGAGGCAGCTTCCTGGCCCCGAGACGGTCAAAAACTAAGTGCTAGCACACGTGACCCTGAATAGAGACAGAAAGCGCTTTCGTGGCCACGGCGAGCCTCGGCCACGAATATGTCCCACGTCTAGAATCCAAGCAACGGCTGTAACACCAGAGCTTCTCCTGAGCCCAACGTGGTCGTTCTTTTAGCGTCATGATTGTAGTCAGGATGAAAAAAAATGTGCGCAAAAGGGTCGAGATCTCTGGGAGCCGACACCCTGACAAAAGCTGCGAGGCCAGAAGAGAGAGTGTCCCAGCCACTGGGGCCCTTACCGGGCTCTGGGACCTTTTATAAACAAAAGCCGAAATCAGTCATCAGGACGGAGCTCAAGGACGCAAGGCCCATGGAACGTGCCGATACGAAAAACAAAAACGCGCCGACCCTCAAAACACCCAAGGATGCAAGGGACCCTAGCCAGACAGCATCCTTGCGCCCGCTCACCAGGACGCCTCGGACAAAAGCCAGGCGGACGCTGCCAGGGATGCCAAGGGCGCCTGGCCAGCGCTGGGGAGAGGGCCGGGACTTCTGGCGGCCCCACATTGAAAAAAAGACGTCCGATCTCGGGGCACAAGGCTCTGTGCCCCTAAGATCCGGCGTGCTGCGTCTTTCAAGTGCGTTGGATGCTCGCACGCTGCACAATTCGAAGTATCCATCGAACGCGCTGGACCAGCCTGCCTGGCCACTGGGCAACGCCCACGGTCGCTCGCCCGCGGCCGCGCAAAGAGAAGAAGAAGAAGAAGACGGGAAGCTGATGATAATACTACCACTACTACCACTGCTACCATAACCACGACTACTACTACTACTACTACTGCTACTACTACTACTACTACTACTACTACTACTACTACTACTACTACTACTACTACTACTACTACTACTACTACTACTACTACTACTACTACTACGACTACGACTACTACTACGACTACTACTACTACTACTACTACTACTACTACTACTACTACTACTACTACTACTACTACTACTACTACTACTACTACTACTACTACTACTACTACTACTACTACTACTACTGCTACGACTACTACTACTACTACTACTACTACTACTACTACTGCTGCT